GAGTACCACAGGGGTCAAAGCATTGTCGAAAGATTCAATAAGACCTTGGCCGAGCGCCTCTTTGGATACCAGTATTGGAAAGAGCTGGAAGATCCCTCCAAACGCAACAGGGAATGGACTCAGAGGCCCCCCCAGGTCGTCGCGGCTTTAAATGACGAGGCGGCCAGGGCTACGGGAATGAAACCCAAGGATGCTATGAAGAAGAAACACGTGGAACACAAGTCCTACGTCAGAAGTTCGAGGGCGGTCGGACTGAAGGAAAAAAAGCTCCCTCGCAACATAGTGGTCAGATACCTCTATCAGCCGGGGGAACTCGAAGGTGGCAGTAAGAGAGCCACGGACCCCAACTGGTCTCTGGAAACGTATGAGATTTCGAAGTCCGTCACCAAGGAAGGGCAGCCCGTGTTGTATTACCTAAATGGCCCAAGTCGCGGATTCGTCAAGGAAGAGCTGCTTATAGTCCCCAAAGACTCAGAGTAGTGCTGCTCCACGCGCCCGATTACACTCTAGGCATGTCAACCTTACGTTGCCTCTGCAATGCCCGCGTTTATTATTTATGCGATCCACGGAGAACTGCTGATCGTCATTTGGGTCGAACCTCCATAGTAGTGGTATGTTACACTTGGCACACCGCGCCCCTTTCTTATAGACGTCGTCCACGCATAGGTCGAATTTGATCCCTTTTTCTTCGTCGTGCCGCTTGTAGCGAAGGAGTTTCTTAGCAATTTTCTCTTTGGCTACGTCTTCGGGGGTGCGGTCATAACGCAGTTGCGGACCCCAGGCTCTTTTCAGCTGTTTGGCATACTCCACACGGCTTACGGCGGTGTAGATAAGGTTGCTCCAACACAGCCGCTGGTCAATGATCCATAAGGTTTCTTTTATGGTAAGCCCTTGCGCGCTGTGGACTGTCATGCAATAGCCTAAGCGCCAGTCCGGATGGGAGGTAATTCTTTCTACTTTTTCTATGGGTACCCAGGCTTTATCGTGCGTTACCGCATTTTGCAGTTGGATGTCGGTACCGGGTACGCAAACGTCGCGGCGCTGCATGCGGGTGTCGTGTGGTTTATAACAAACGGGTACGGGATGCGTAGGGAAGCGCTCTTGGTGTATTTTTAGTAAGTCTTTCTGTATGCGAGACTGTGCTGCGCGCTTGCTGCTCAGCACCAGATCTTCAGGATGCCAGGCGTATAGAAAGTCCTCGTAGGACTTCGCTCGTACGCGTTTGCGCAGCGTCTTGCATTGCTCGGCGTCACTGAGCCCCCTTAATTCCGCTTTCAGGTTTCTTACTTGATCCTTGCTGCGGTAATCTGTGTTAATTTCCTCCGCATGGTCTACTAGATCTTTTAACCATTCGTGGGGCATCTCTCCGGCTATTGG